GAAAAGCGCAGGCGATCTGTGTGGCCTATGAAGAGATGGAACGTTTCTTCCCCAAAGAATCGATCGTGATGACGGGCAATCCCGTAAGGCAGGTGATCAGCAATGCAACACTGACCCGTACAGAGGGACAGGCCTGGCTGGGAATGGACCCGGAGAAAAAGACAATACTGGTAGTAGGTGGCAGCCTGGGTGCAAAATCAATTAATGAAGCCATTGACGCAGGATTAGAAGACTTATTAAAAGAGGATGTACAGATCATCTGGCAGACGGGCAAGCCCTATTATGAGCAAGCCGCCAGCCGGGTAAAAGGCTTGGAAGGAAAAGTAAAAGTGTTTGATTTTATCCGCCAGATGGAGTCGGCCTATGCGGCTGCCGACGTAGTGGTATCCAGGGCAGGGGCATTGGCCATCGCAGAGCTTTGTATTGTAGGGAAACCGGTGCTGTTTGTACCCTATCCGTTTGCGGCAGAAGATCACCAGACAAGTAATGCAATGGCGCTGGTAAACCGGCATGCGGCGCAGATCGTGAAGAATGAAGCAGCGGCAAGTAGTTTAGTAACAACATTGAAAACATTAATGAAGGATACAGCAGCCCAGAAGACAATGAGTGATAACCTGAAAAAAATGGCCATCACCGATGCGGATCTGCGGATCGCACAAAAGGTAATCGGGATAGCAAAGCGTTAATAATAGTAAATAGTCGGAAACAGTATGAACATCCAGGACATAAAAAAGGTTTATTTCATCGGCATAGGTGGTATCGGCATGAGTGCGCTGGCCCGCTTCTTTGCGCAGCGTGGTGCTGTGGTGCAGGGCTATGACCGTACCGAAACAGACCTGACCCGGATACTGGCCACCGAAGGCATGAACATTCATTACACCGATGACGTCAGTGTATTGGATAAGGAAGCGCAACTGGTTGTTTACACACCGGCGATACCGAAGGATAGTAAAATACTGAACTGGTACCTGGACAATAAGTACCCTGTATTTAAGCGGAGCGATGTATTGCAATGGATCACCGAAGCAATGTTTGCCATCACCGTGGCCGGTACGCATGGAAAGACAACCGTTTCTACCATGATCGGTTACC